AGGATCAATGCCTCCTTCCCTGCTGATGCCAAGCCCTGGTACAGTGCAGCAGCACCAGGAGGAGCACTCAGCTGCCATCTGAAGCCTGGGCTCAACACCTGCAGTCTATGCCCAGAAGGTGCCACCACATCGGTGCTGGCCCTGCTTGAGGTTTCACTGCCCGTGGGGACACCCAAAAACTCTGGTGTGCTCAGGAAGGTGCAGTCAGGTATTGAGAGAGGTCCTGGCCTTGTACAAGTTCAAGTTTAGGGCAGAGCTGCTCAGCCCCATGCTTTGTTAAGGTTTGGGAAAAGCCAACCAGCATGGCAGGACCTGCAACCACACATGGCAGCAAAGAGAGGTTGTGGATGAGAAGCAAGAGACCATCTCCCTGCTCAGCCTTGGAAACTTGACAGGCAAGGGGCAGATGCATCGAGAAACATCCCCTTGCAGGCCCTCCCTCTATGGCAGTGAGGAGGATGAAACAAGGTGTCCCCTTCCCTCCACCCCTGCACTGTTGTGGGACAGGTAATCTCCTAGTTGGCACAGAACTAACTTGGGGACTGTGGCAAAGCAAAGCAGAGTTTACAGGGGGAGTTTTTGGATGCACACTGGTGCCTGAGGGGTCACAGGACATGCTGAGAGAGGAATTGCTGTAAGGACTTGCAAGGACAATTTAGGAACTTCCAGATTTAGACAGCTGCACAAAGACAACCAGAGGGAAAAGACATCCAAAGATGTGGGTCAGTCCAATAAACAACCTGGTGATTAACAGCAGCCCCCAGGCAAACTGCAATGGCTGGAGGGGATCAACTACCTCTGAGGGCTGGGCAGTGCCTTCAGCTGCCTGTTCCACCCTCCCAGCCAAGGATAGGGCACCAAGCTGCACTACCCCAGCCCTTGCTGCTGGCATGGAACCCCAGCCATGGTGGGCTCACAGCCCCCACCCAGGAGCTGAATTTCTGCACTTCTGCAATGGGGGAAAAATCCAGTTTTAATGTGAACCATAAAACCTGTCAGTAGCTACTGCATTGAGCACTCCAGTTCCCTTTTCCCTAACGTGTCTTTCAGTCTTGGATAGCAGGGGCGTACCAGAGCACCCAAGGATGGTGCTCAAATAAAGGCACCAAACCCCAGCCAAGGGACAGGCTGAAAGATGGCACTGGGGCTCAATGCATTAGGGTTGGTCTCAGTACCAACCCTGCACAAGGCAGGGCTCTCATTTCAGCTTTTATGACCTTTTTGCAAGGAGATCAGAGTGAGGACATTGGCTGCATCCTCATAACTTTCTCAATACAAGCTGAGGACAGGGAAAAATAAAAATAAAAATCCACACCCCCTTCCAGTCCAAGCCATCTGCTCCCAAACATGCTCTACGCTCTCCCTAACACATGTTTCTCCTTTCCTGTGGGAACAGCAGCAGGTGAGGGGGAAGACAGCCACAGAATAAGCCCTCCCTCACGTGAGGAGGGAGCACATCCCCTCACATCTGCATGCTGAGCCCAGCCCAGCCCGTTCTGGGGGCACCGTCTCACCGGCAGGGATGGCACTCGTGGCTGCTCCGAGTCCTGCCCTGACTCACCCCAGGCTGCTCCAGCAAGCCAACAAACCAGCTGGGCAAGGCCATTTCAGCACAAGGACAACCAGGCATTCCAGGGTGATGCGTGACACAGTGGTGACAAAGCCACAGGGCCCCCAGGTGAGGAGTACCCCTGTCCCCCTCACGCAGGGCACACAGGCCGCCTCTGCTTTCACGTGCAGCTCCACCACACCCCGTGTCCAAAACCACCCTGTGACCACAGACACTTCTGTCCTGCTTCAGTACTTGGGGAAGGATGAGGACAGACCCCAGGCGAGCCATTTAAGCACCCAAGTGAAAAGTGATCTCTGCAGTGGACTCGTATCCGTGAGTAAAGCAGCGTTTTGCTCTGACTCTGGTGTAACACCAGGGCTCACAGCACAGGGACCGGAGCAGCCCCTCCCTGAACCTGGGAGAAGGAGCCAGTGCTGAGAGCAGAGGGCATTCAGGGAAAAAGCAGGATTTTCGGTTCCTAGGTGAGGTCCTCCAGCTGTCCAGAGCAGCTGTGAGGCTCCAAGAAAGGCATCCTCCCTCCACAACTAGAGATTTGGGGAGGGGTGAAAGCTGGGAAGGAGGACAACACTGGAAGCCCAGAAGAGCATTCTCCCTGCCAAAATACTGGTAGGAAGGCTTAACTCAGGGTCTTTTGTGGATGGCCAGGAAGTAGCAAAAGGTAAGTCCAGCCCAATACAATATCCAGCCACAGGACACAAACAACACTCTCTGCTTTCACAGGGAACGCTTGGCTGATGCTCCTGGAGACTGATACACTCCATAGCTACAGCACAAACATAGGAAGAACACGAACACAGGTGACATTTGGACCTCACATTTCTCCTCAAAATGCCATTTTTCCATCACTGTAAGTTCCATACCCAGTGCCCTCACAGCTCTGTGCAGCATCGGGGCATTGCTCACTCCTCTTCCTGCAACAGGGAGTAACAACCACCTCTGCTCCCACGGAGCAGGTTTATTTTCCCAGCAATTTAAAGAAAGGACATTGCTGAGGCCTTGCTATGCACCACAGGAACTGCAGGGGCTAATTTAAGATGCGCCCAATTTAGAACAAGGTGCCAAGCTCCAAGGCTGTGCTGAGAAGTGACCCTTCTGCTCAGGGATCCTGGAAAAAGATGGACAGAAGCATTTATAATGCTTTAAGACAGACACAGCTCCTACTGCATCCAAGGCTCTCAGATACCAGAGAGCAGGCAGAGGCTGCTTACAGCTCACAAAAGCCCATAGAAAAAGGGCTTTTCACCTCTCAGTTGTGTGCTGGTCCAACAGCCAGATGCCTATGGAGGAGAGAGGAATCCCCCCAATCCCTTTTCTAGAGGCTGGGTAAGAGCAGCAAAACTACAGAGCTTCATTTAGAGAGCTTTTCTCCTAAGGGTGTGCCTTCCCAGAGCTGGAAGGACAATGCATTTCACACTCATCCCAAAAAAACTGGCTGGTTACAACTGCTTCCACACAGCAGAGTAAAAGCAGCTCAACAAGACAGAGAGGGCCAAGGGCTCCCTCCCCACTAAGGTCAGGGACCTGAGCTCCACATGAGGTGTCCCCACCACAAGAGCAGCCCAAAACACCCTCCATTTCACACCAGCACCAGCAAATTGTGCTTTCTGGACTGACCAAACAAGTTGTAGATGATACAACACTTGTTTTAAATTGGGATGTGGGCTCTGGGAGGGGATGAGGAAGAGCACAGCATGTTTACAAGCAGATTTACAAACAGAACCTCTACATAACATAAAACTGCTGCAGTTTTGGGGCAGCATTAGGCACGTGTCAAAGAGGAGGCCAGGCACGAGCTGTTCCCAAAATCCCAGAGCCTCGGCTCAGGGACGGTCTCTGTCAGGGCAGAGGAGCAGCATGCCCTGTCAGCACATCCCAGCTGTGCCAGACACACGGGGGCTTCCACTGCCAGGGCTTGTCAGCAGCATCAGCACATCAAATTCACTGGGATATCAAAGCCACTCCAGCTGATTATCCTCAAGGTGCGTCGCTTCCCAGGAGCAACAGAGGCAGAGACTATCAGAGCACATATTACTGTGAAACAACAGTATGTGACCTAATTCTCTAATTAGGAATGGGCTCAATTGCCCACGGAGGGTGAAAATATTAGATCACTGAGATTTCTTTTTCCAGCAAAAAGATGCTGGTATTTTGTTGTTATAAAATAGCAGGTTCCAAGACAAAGCTTTGATAGGCACAGCCACAATCCCTGTTCTTTGGAGTGTATGTATATACCAGACACCCCACCACACACTCACTTCGCTCACTCCTTACTCCTGCTTCAAGCCCAGTTCGATCAGGAGACAAGTGTGACACTTCACATAAAAGTGTCCAACTGTGACACTTCACATAAAACAACCCCCCTGTTACACTCTGCTTGGCAAACCCCAACCCCACAGAGCAGCTCCACAGCTCCCAGCTGAGGCACAAACTCTCTTCAGGGAAGCTCTACAGCTCCCAGCACCTCCTCGAAGGCAAACCACACCAGCCCAGGCAGACACCCGAGGAGATGAACAATCCCGCAGCCCTCTCCTTCCAGAACTGCTGCTCCCATTTCACAGGCAGCCCGACTCCTGAGTCACCAGCTCCCCGTGAATCTCCGCGGAGCAGGTGCGTGTTTGCATCAGCTCCTGGGGAGCCGGTGGTGGCTCCGAGGAGCGGCTCCGAATTCGGCCGAAGCGGAGCATCGGGAGCTCCCGATTCCCTCGGATTCCTGCTGCCGGGCAAACCTCAGCACCACCTGCTCCTGATGCAGGGTCTGAGCCCTCGGGGAGGTCACTGCGCACGGAGCGGGGAAAGGATGACAGATTGAACCCGCCGGCAGGACCCGCACCCCGCCAGGCCGAGCTCCGCCGGGACCGCAGGAAACCGCGGCACTCCTTGGCTCTTAATGACAGTCTTGTGACACCGTAGTTAATGGTCTGTCATGGGCTCCATCGGGAGCCTCGACGCTGGCAGGAGGCGGATCGGCCAACCCAGCCCTGCCGGCACGGCCACCGAGCCGGAGCGGCTCCGGGCAGGAATCGGCTCCTGTTCTTTTGTTACAGCTCCTGCTTCCCCCGGGAACGGCTCGGTCCGTGTGGGCACCGGGAGGGCGCGGGCAGCGCTCCCCTGGGGAAGGGTCCGGCTGCGCATCCAGGGATTACATCACCCCCGGCCCCTCTGCCCACGTCCCCCTCCAGATTTGGGGCGTTTTAAGGAGCTGCCGAGGCCTCCCCGCTGCCCGCCACGCGCGTGAAGAAAAAAAAAAACAAAGGAAAAAGCAAAACAACCCCTCCCTGCCTGTCTGTCAGCCCGGCGGGGTCACGGCCCCGGGGAGGGGGTACAGCGGGCGGGGTGGGGCTGACAGCGGTGGGGGTGACAGCGAGGAGGGGTGACAGCGACAGGGGGTGACAGCGGCCGGGGTCCCGCGGCCCCCCAGCCCCCTCACCGTTGCTGTAGGCGTACGGGGACTCGGAGGCGCCGTCCTGCAGGCTCTCCAGGATCTCGCCCTTGCCCACGTCGCTGTCGCCCACGAGCAGGAACTTGAGCAGGTAATCGTAGCTCTTCACGGGGCTGCCCTGGGTGCCCATCCTGCCTCTCAGGGCCGGCGCGGCCCGGCCCGCATCCTCCGCCCGCCGGCCTGGGCTGCGGCCTCTGCCCCGCGCCGCTCACCGCCGGCCGCGCATCTTCCGCCGGGGCCGCGCTGGGACCTGCGGCGGAGGAGGAGGACGAGGAGGAGGAGGAGGAGGCGGAGGAAGGGCCTGGCCCAGCCCCGCAGCGCCCCCGCCGCTGACACGGTCCCGCTCCGCCCTCCCGCCCGCCCGCACAAAGCGCCGCCGCCCCGCCGGGCCCCGCGGCCCGAGCCCGCCCCGCCCCGCCGGGCCCAGCCCCGCGCCGGGTCAGCCCCGCGCCGGCCCCGCCGCCCACCTGAGCCGGGCCGGGCCGGGCCGCCCCCGCCGCACGGCCCCCGCCCCGTCCCCGCCCGCCGCGCCCATTGGAGCAGACACGCGTCAGTCAGGAGATGCCCCGCCCCCGCTCAGATGTGTCCGCTCCCATAGGCTCAGATACGCGTCAGTCACGGCCGGCCCCGCCCCGACGCTCCCTGGAGGGCTCGGGAGGGGCGGGGCCAGCAGGGGGCGGGCGGCGGCGGACTACAACTCCCGGCGTGCTCTGCGGCGAGCGGGGCATGATGGGACGGGTGGGGGCAGCGCACGGTGGGGGGAGAGGGGGAACTGGGGGGATCCGGGGATTGGGGGATCCAGGGATTGGGGGGCATCCAAGTGCCATCAGGGAAGGGCTAGCATCCAGATGAGTGTGGGAGCACCCAGCTGTGGGGAGGCATCCAGGTGGGTGGGCATCCACTTATGGGGGGCATCCAGGTTCGGGGTGGGCATCTAGGGGGGCACCCGGGTGTTGGGGGCACCCAGGTATGAAGAGGGCCCGGGTGTGGGGTTTGGGGGGGTTGGAGATGTGTGCACCCCACTGCTGGGGGGCCAGGGGGGACCCAGTGAGGGCTGGCCTGGGCAGGTGACATCCAGCGTGTCCCCAGAGATGGTGCCAGCCATGGGGCGCCAGCCTGAGCCTGTCCCCAGGAAGGGCTGTGACACCAGTAACCACTCCTGGCCTTGCTCCGTCCAAATCCCTTGGCACTGGCCTGGCATCTGTGAGCAACCACTCCCAGGCCCAATCCCAGCAGATTCCTGGTGGGAAGGTGTGGAGGATCCTTTCCCTGCCCTAATTGCTGACAAGTCCCTGTGCCCAGCACAGCATCCTGCTCCTCTTTTCAGAGCTGCACATTCCATTAGTGACGTTCCCAGCCTGGCTGTTCCCAATCTAAACTGCCCTGGGTCCCCCAGCCCAGGGAGCACCGGGGATGCCCCTCACCCTGCAGGGAGGCTGAGGCCCCCCAGGCTCCTTCCCTCTGGTGAGTCAGCTCCTGCTCCTCCTGCTCCTCTTCCTCCTGCTCTGCTCCCTGGCCTGTGCTCCTCATGTTGCAGCAGCAGCACTGAGACTTCTTGCTTTTATAAAATATTAATTGCTGCCCAAACCTGTCCTTTCCAGCGGGGCTGATTCCCTTTCCCCCCACAGGGATTGCTGTGCTGTTGACCAGCAGGCCAGGACAGCAGTGCCAAGGGTGTTGGGTACCCCCCACCAGTGACTCCTCTGGCAAAGATCCCCCAAAAGTGGGGCTGGCAATGGAGGATCTGTAAAATGGGCTGGAGTGGGGTGGGCTGAGAGCAGGCAAAGGGCAGCTGGCAAAGGCCAAGGGGCTCCACCAGCCTGGCCAGTCAGCCAAGGGTACGGCCCACCCTCAGTGTGATGGACTGGAAACGTGCAGGGCCTGAGCAGCAGTGAATCCATCAGTCCTCAGCTGGCTGAGACACAGCTCTGGGCACCAGGATGCCCAACTGAGCACCCACAGCATGGCAGGACCCCAGTGCCCCACAGCTCTGGGGACAAGGGCTCCTCCTGTGCCCCATCCCTGCTCCTCAGGAGCTCTGAACCTGCCCAGCCTGGGGAGGAATGGAATCACAGACATGTTTCAGTTGGAAAGGACCTTAATACCATCTTAATCCAAACCCCTGCCATGGGCAGGGACACCTTCCACTAGCCCAGGTGAATCCAAGCCCTGTCCAGCCTGGCCTTGGACACTTCAGGGATCCAGGGGCAGCCACAGCTTCTCTGGGCAACCTGTGCCAGGGCCTCACCACCCTCACAGCCAACAATTCCTTCCCAATATCTCATCTAACCCTGCCCTCTGGCAGTGGGAAGCCATTCCCCCTTGTCCTGTCCCTCCATGCCTTGTCCCCAGTCCCTCTCCAGCTCTCCTGGAGCCCCTTTAGGCCCTGGAAGGGGCTCTCAGCTCTCCCTGGAGCCTTCTCTTCTCCAGGTGAACCCCCCCAGCTCTCCCAGCCTGGCTCCAGAGCAGAGGGGCTCCAGCCCTCAGAGCATCTTCATGGCCTCCTCTGGACTCGTTCCAGAGCCCTTCCCTCGTGCTCACTGGGTGAGGGGAGATGGCAGAGCTCTGGGGTGGGGGCTGTGCCCCCCTTTAGTGGTGCCAGCCTGGGTCCCCCTCCTCTCCCACACCCTGAGGGCTTGAGCTCATGTGCTGCCTCGGAGCCATGTAGTGTGAACTCCTTTGGGGGTGTTCTGGTGAGGGGTTTGTATCCCCGTGGGCTGAGGGGATGCTTACACTCAGCACTGCTCAGTTTGGCTTCTGTACCTGGCAGGGGCCAAACACAGCCCCCTCCATCCCCCCACCCACCTCCCAAACAGCCCAGCTCCCACAGCCACTGCTAAAGCAAAACGAAACGGCAGATAAAGCAAACCAAAACAGCAGATAGAGTTAATGGAAATAGCAGCTGTCCTGCTGGAGTCTCTGCCACTCCCAGCCTCTGCTGACGGTGTTCCCCAGGGAGCAGGGGCTTGGAAGGTGAAGCCTGCAGGGAAACTCTCGCTCCAGGGCTCAGCCCTGGCAGGTGGAGCAGGGGAAGCAGAGAGGGGGGACCTGTGCATGCCTGGATTCCCCAGGAGAGAAAAGCCACTCCTCTCATTTCTGTCCATCAGCCCATTGGCTCCAAAGCAGTGGAAGTGGAGAGGAGGAGGATGGGCAGGAACCTCCTTGATTTTATTTCTTTTTTCAGCCTCTGGTTCTCAGTCCTGCCACTCCAGAGGACCCTGCTCATGGCTCAGTCAAGGGATTTCTCACCTCGCTGGGATAGTGGAAACCAAACTGGAGCTCAGACCAATGGGAATCATGGCAAGAGGGTGTGAGGCAGAGCTAGAAGGGTGATCCTGGCAGAGGGGGGATCTTGGCAGGTGGTGTGTGGGTACTTTGCCATGGCTGTGCACTCAGCTGTATGAAAGGGGAAAGGAATGGGAGGAGTGCTCTGGGGTGAGGAGGAGTGGTCACAAGGCCCCATCATTCCCATCCCAGCTTGGGCTCCTGCTCGGATTGGGCAGTGCTGCAGAGGTTTGTCCTCCCCATCCTGCCTCACACCAAACAGCACCACACCATAGGAACAGGCTCAGGGGAAACCCTCACTGACTTGTAGGAAATCCAGAGCTGGAAGAGCATCACCTCAACCATGTCCAAGGCCTGAGGTGGGATCAGCTGGGTCAGGGCTCCTCCCTCCATGGGCTTCACGGCCTTGGCAGAACAATTAGAGCTGGACCAGTGGTGAAATCCCTCTGTGTGGGAGAGCAGAGGATGAGCAACTGCCCAGCCAGGCCTCAGGAGGGGGATGAGCTGCCTGCCTGGGTAAGCTGAGCCTACAGCAGCCCCCCTGCCTGTCCCTCTGCTGTGGCAGCCACACAGTGCTTGTTAAACAAGAGGGAAGAGCTCGATTTTTCTCCCAACATCTTTATTATAGTGTAATCAAAATCCATTTAAGTTCTGATTAAAAGGTTTAACTAACCCCAAAACCCCACACCTGTCAGCAGAACAGAGCTCTCCATCCCTAAACTCTCCCACAGAAGCACCTGTACCTGGTATGTGCAGAGCATCCCTGGTCCCACCTGTGCAGGGACCTGCTGCCACTGGCACTGCTGCCACTGGCATTGCCATCATCCTGCTGGCATTGCCATTGCTCTGCCCAGCACTTCTGCCTGCAGAAACAGAGCTGTCATGAGCCTAAAGCCAGTCTGATTCCTAAGGCAGGGCTTGTTCCTGGCCAGTCTGTGTTTCACATCATCAGGCTGCGTTTCACATCAGGGCTGTGGTGGGAAGGAAGTCACCTTAGCTGGGGTTAGTGGTGACATTTAAAGCAAACACTATGTCACACTTTGCTCCTGCTGAACGTTCATGTGAGAGAAGGAGAAAATGTACCAGTGGTTTTTAAGCAGTGATCAAACTTCCTCTCAAACTTCACGCACAAATACACAGTTTCAATGAAACTGTCAGTCATTCAGTGCTCTTTCGTAACACTTTACTTTAAACCAGAAAACACTGTAAGGAGGAGGATTGATTCCAAGAGTTGTGAAGTTCTCACAAATTTCCCCAGTGCCAGAGGTTAAATAACACTGCGGATGGGAGAGGTGCTGCTGCTTCTCCCTGCCCTGAGTGAGCACAGAGCAGGGCCCCAGCTCTGCTGCTCCCCCCGAGCAGCACAACCAGCACCTCCCCTGCCCCGGGAATGCAGGGAGTATATTCTGTCACCTCCAGCATCCAGCAGCACAGGGATCCTCTTGTATTTGGCTTGCTGAGACAGTAAATGGGGAGTTAGAGCATTCCTGGTTTGAGGCCTTGGCGTGGGTAAGGGCTGGAGGTGCCAGCTGGGAGTCCAAGGCAACAGACTTTTGCAGCAACTACTAATGGAAAATGGTGAGCCAGATGCAAAGGTGATGGGCACACTGTTCTCATCCAGGAACAAAAATCAGCTGCCCATGTGAGGTTTGGGTTGCTCTGAACATGTTTATCCTGCACTCAAAAGCTCCTGAGCCAGCTGGAAAGCCCCATGGCCTCCTGTCATGTGGGGGATCCAGACCCATCCCATCTGTGTTCAGAGCACACTCACCCTGCAGAGCCTCAGGGCTGCACACAGAGCTGTTCCCAACACGTGGGCACTGCCAGGCTGGGGCTCTGCTCCCCAGCCCCCAGAGCTGCCCCTCTGTGCTCAGCACAGCAGC